TTCTATCCTTAAACCATAGGTAAGAAATCATCGGTTAAGAAAACATTTTAAGGTCATCATCTTGACTGAAAAGTTATCGATAGATTTTTCATGGCAATAATATTATACTTGACATTTATGTGTCATAGTTTTAGATTGTACTTTGGCGAAATGATATAATTTTTTTTAGATGTCTCACGTATCACTGAAATTACATAATATAGATATACTGTGAAATTGCTTATCACAAGACAGCCAAATATATTACATGCTTGACCGGAGAAATATTCATTTATCGCTTCATCGAAGAAATGTTATCGTTTATTTCATGACCTTTTAATTTTTTTATAATATATTTTTCCAAAATATGACATTAAACGATTATACTAAATTATATTAAATAGTATCAAAAAATTCTTGTCTTATTGAATACTTAACCACAAATTTATTAATATCTGTAACTACAAACTATTAAAAAAAATCTACTGCTGTTAATTTAATTACATTAAGTGCTGCAATTAGATTAAGTGCTTGATTTAATAAATTTTAATACTATTATGCATGAGTATGCCATCTTAAAATAAGATAAGAAAAAGAAAGAGAGAATGGAAGAATTGAATGCGACGATCACACGATACAATCAAGTGCACGTGATTATCGTAATACAGTGTAATATTACATCGTGGACCGTGGACGCCAATGATTAAGGTTCAGCGTATCCCGATAGTTCTCTAACGTTGTAGCCGATTATTTATTCAACAACAGAAATGATGTGCCGCCACCTGTTAAAGTGTATACGAACTCGTTCAGGGATATTCTGCGTCGTTCCTCTTTCTTGCCGCCTCTCTCTCTCTCTCTCTGTCTCTCTCTGCGCTTTCGCCCGTCTAGATCTTTCTTTAAACTTTTTGATACATATATACTTTATCTGACATTTAATTTTAAATGTTACTTGAGTATCATATGGATGTTATTATTCACAATTATTAAACAATTACGAACAACAACGATTTACGAGTTTTTACGAACAAGCCATAAGAGATGAAGGGAACCGCAAGTCACGAAATGATTCAGTCATTCGTTACTTCTAGGAATTCTCTAACTCTATATTTGGAAATTGAAAGACGGTAAACAGTTAATCGAAGCTAAGAAAATAAGCTAATTGTAGAATGCAATGGATGAAATATAAAAAAAAGTCTCAAAGTTTATTCGATTATTCTTGATTTTAATTTGTTTACGAAATTATACTTTAAGAAATTATTTAATGATGACTTATTGTGAAAGTTATTCACGAATGTCTCTCTAAATCTATATGAAAAAAATAGTTTTGCTAAAATCTAAGAATAGCTACATACAAATCTAAAATTAGCTACATACAAATTTAAAAATAATTTTATCGGATTTAAAATAAGTTATTGTTTTAATGTAGGCCGTCCAAATATGATGAGTAATGCTGCAAAAAAAGATATTCTGGCAATCAGTTTGAGCGTCCTATATAATTATTTTGATGGTTCGGCAAAATTATTTTTAAATTTGTATCTAGCTAAATTTTTAGATATCGTTTTAATACTGTTTTTTCTGTGTATCTCATCTAATTTTTCAACAATTTTATGTACGTTTTGTATTAATAACGTACAATATTTGTATTAATGATAATTAAAGCACATTTGAAAGATCATTTTGTTCATTTCAGCACAATATTAATACACGGAAGAGACGATTTTACAGAAGTATCTAATTTATATGGCTAGATACACATCTGAAATTAATTTTGTTGGACTATTAAAATAATTATATAGGACGCACAATCTGGTTATTAGAACCAGAATTAGAATATCGAAATTTTTTGCAATCTTTTGCTCATGTTTGAGAAAATTGCTAATTATTTTAATAATTCGACAATATTATTTTCAGATTTAAATTTTTAGATATTTGAGCAAAATCGTTCTTTTAGCATATAATAATATTATTCGAAAGATGAAGTTATTAGTTATAATTTTCTGATATATAATTGTTTATTATATATCATTTCTACTTAATTTTCCGTGCAATATTTTGATCTGTTGTTACTTTTGGTATTTATGCGAATTTTCAGATCGCAGAAGAATCTTATTTATTATTTTTCTTCACGGAAAATTACAAATGACCAAATGTCGACATAGTTGCTGTTATCACGTGGAACACGATTAAGTCGCCTTGGTTACGAACACACCCGCGAATCCTGTTCTCGCTGAGAATGAAAAAATGTGTGAAGCCGGTCGTCTTCGTCGTCGGGTTTTCGATAAACGATATCGCTAGAGCCGGTTCCATCGATGTTGGCTTCCCGGAGACAAACCTGCATGAATATTATCCACCGCGAACATCGTCGTTAAATTGCAACTTTTAGCCAACGAAACTGTCAATTGGTAAATTGGCCAGATGACGAATTTTATTTCCGATTCATCGTTTATGTAATTAATTACAAATAATCTCTTGTTACACTTACCGTTATTGAAATAAAAATATTTAAACGCAAAATACTTGCATAATCAACGAAATTCTTGTCTAATATAATAATTTTTCTTGTCTAATAAATAATTTTAAATATATGTATCTTTTAATTTTATAAAAAGAAGATTTGTATTAGTTTGATTGCAGGTAGGAGTTTAAATAATTATGTGAAACAAAAGCTGAAATATATATATATATATATATATATATATGCACTGAAAAAAATTTCGGATTGAAAATAACTGGACTAAAAGATTCTGATCATATCAATCAGAATTCTCGTTATTTCGCACATAATGCTAGAATTAAAATAGATTTAACCAGAAAATTCTGATTTCAATCAGAATTCTAATTAATATAGCTAGATTCTTTCTAGTGCACTAAAAGGGAATTTCATACTAACATACTATCGCTGAAGCCCTATGAAATATTTACGAAAGGTCAAAGGTAAACCAGTTCGAGCACGATGATGATTTTCTGAACTTTAATCCCGTATGCTTGAACACTGAAGCGAAGCGCATTATCGGCTTGTAAATTTATACGATTGTAAGCGATGAATTGAATAGTTCTGTGTCTCTGTAAATACGTAATATTATAATATTGAATATTTCTCATAAATTTTACACCTTATTTTAATTATCGGAAAATTGATTTTTTTATTCGAGAAAGTTAATTTCAAAATTTATTATACATATTTTCTTCAGGAAAATTTAATATATTATACATCTTTTATTGTACTATTATATTTTGTCATGTTATTAAATGTTAATAATTCATAAAATACTCGCATTTTTTTCTATTACATTTTGAACGTTCTGTAAACGTTCAAATTTGATCGTTTCAATTGGTGAATTTTTGAAAAAGAATCGTAACGAAGCGTGAAATTCCGGCAAAAAGTTGGCAACTATAGACAGAAAAATATATATATATTGTATCTAAATATCAACTACTTCAGGTATTTCAAAAGTTTATATATCTGCAAATCCATCATAAGTTTATCACATCAAATTTATTTAAAATAAATTCTAATAAGAATGTATACTTTAATCAAGAATATTAAATTAAAACAAATTTGATTTGCTTATTATATATGTTCGCTTCTTTTTCTAAAATTTTATAATATATTTTTTATAAAAGTAAAATAAATATTTGTTTTGAGTATATGATAATAAGGTTTTTTAAAATTTATAATATGATAAAATTAATAACAATATATATATTTTTAGAGGTAATCATTACTTAAAACAAAAAGAAGTAAACTCTAGAATAATCACTAAAGAATAATCACTTTTCTTAGCAATAGTATGATATTTTTTTGTGTATAGTTTTGGTAATACATGATATTTCTATAGTTTTCGTTCGACAACTTTTATGTACATCACGAGTCAACATCTGCTTGATAAAATATATTAAAGACAAAATTCTGTATACCTCTCGACGCATCGATATCTTTCAAAACATGTACAGTTACGTCTTAACCATAAAAATAAAACTTTGGAGTTTCAAATAAAAAAATTTTTATTTAAAAATTTCATCGTTTAAGGAAATAAAATTTTTAAAAAATTTTTTAATTTTTTATTTAAAATATTATTCAATTTTTAATAATTTAATAAAATTATTTTAAAAGGATTAATGAAAAAATTTCAACTATCTTTTGAAAAATATCATGCGATTTTAAATCTTCTCGAAATTATCTGTCAATCCAGCTGAACAAATAAAGGAACTGTTGTCAAATATCATTTATATGATGATGAATCTCTTTGTAATACTTCTCTATGATTATATATCCAATTAACTAACAATTGGCGAAATATTCGAATTTTCATATTTTACTGTAACAATTATACACTGTGAAAACGATATGTAAAATTATGCAAAAAATAAATGTTAAAATCACACGATTTTTAATGGAATATATATTTTTGCGATTTTTACATTCCGCTTTTTTACAGTGTATTCGATATGGCGGTATGTTTTTCGATCAGTTTTTAATGAATTACACGATTGTGAATAATGATATTACAGTCAATACGTAGCGCACAGCGAACAGAAAATTATCTCTATGAGAAAAACGCTTAAATTCCATTCATAATGCGATATTTTTTCAAATTAATAATATTATAGAACTAGAGCCTTATTCTTGAAAGATTGTATAATTAACGAAAATTAACGAAAATATAAATATTACGTATATTATAGATATTCTCTTGAGATTTCCCTATTTTCGTATGCGATCTTTTTTCACGAATAAGATCCTGTTCGAAATGCGATTGCGATCGTAATTGTTAAATTATTTCCTAATTTGTTTTTTGTTTTTACTATGCGATTGCGATGATCGTTACATTAATTTTGATCGTATTTCAAAGAAAATTCCTTTCTGCATGATCGACGTCAAAGAGTCGCGTTATATAATCTCGGGGCGCAACGTTGCGCTAGAGCCGTCCCTGAAAAGGGGCCCTCGGTGTTTTCCAAATCAGCTGTTAGTACTCGCGCAGTGGGAAAGGAAGGGGGAAGGGGAGAGTAGGAGGCGTGTGGTTCCGTCGGTCAGGTTCTTCACAGTTCTTTAGTCCACAACGATCACGCGGGGAGAGTACGTCGTATGGATTCTCGTTTGCGCTTCGTGTAATTCATACGATACATACGCGTAACGGGCGCGATAATCTTGTCGCAGTGTCGTGCGTTTGTTACGGCAACACGGAGGTCGTTACTTTCGCGAGGACACGGGCTGTTGATCTCGCGCGTTATCGAAACACGGTCCGTTTCGGGTGAAAGTGTAGCTTTATAAAAGCGAGACTAACTTCAAGTAGACGAGGTTTACAAAATCATCATCTTCCGTTGCGTGAATGTTCCGCGCACTCGCGACCTTCGAGCTCGGAATTATTATTCAACAACAATGTATCCGTAATCATAAGTCGAGTATCCTCGTCGAGCTGGAAACGCGGCTAGAAACAGCGTTCGATGAGAACTCGTGGCTGTCGTTTGTGCCTAAAAACTCCGAGGATACGATCATTGGTCGGAGATGTACTACATTCCGATGTCAGGCGCGATAAAAGTGCGCGTGTGGTGAATCAACACGTTGCGATCGCGTACGATTAGGCTCACAGTTCCCCAAATGTTCTGGAAACACGCGACTTCCCGTCAGCTAGCGCTCGACCGCGTCGACCGCGACGACGTTCTCTCCTGAAGAAAACGGGGCGAGATATTCGCGAATCTGGTCAAGGCCCCCCCAACATTCGACAACGATCGTGCGAACAGTCGACTGTTGAACGTGTCGTCCACGCGCCGCATGCTGCGTGCGTGGTTCCTAAGTGTGTCAGTAGGATAACCGACGACGTTTACGTTTAACTGACGCTTCTGCCGGATCATCACGGGCTACGACGTTCGCTTCCGTGCGAATAATTAAGTACGGTATCTACGATGCGACTATAAGCTGTTGATGTTTACGTAAAGATCATACCGCGATATCGATGTTTGTCGAGATAAATTGTAGTTGTTTTTTTTTTTTCAACTGATTAGTGCACGAGTCCCGAGAGAAGGATTTGAGCCTAGCCAGAGTGCAACATGTAAACTGTACTCGTATAATGGCTAATAATATATTTTTGAATATGAAATAATACGAAACCGACTGCCCGCGATCGCGCTAGAATCGAAAGCGCAGGTACAAGTTAATAAAAAAAAAAAAAAATTTATCAAGACCAAAGCCGATACAAGACAATAATTATCGAATTATCTCTTAAGAATTTTTCCAAAAGATCGTTATTACAATCGCGATCAGTGATTATTCACCGAGAACCAGAAGAAAATTTTTCAACTGGGGCAACTGCTTGTTGTTACAATACAATAAGAAAACGCTTTGGGATTGTGAAAAGTTCGACTTGCATATGTCGATCGCCGGTCTACCGTCCCCTGTCTCTTTCTTCCTCCTTCTTTTTTATCTTCATTCCTACTGACATTGCTTGCGCCGCGACGACAGTGACGTACGCGGCATAAACCGTACCCTGAGTTCGCAGTTTCGCGATGGAGGAAGATGAGATTCTGGTGCAGGCGAACGACAGTATCTCGATCCCATCGAAAAAGGAAAGCGGTTATTTCGAGGAAAACTGTGGTGACTTAAGCGACGTCATCTTCAGTAATTACAATCACTATGGGGCACTCCTCAGCGTCGATACCGCTGGTATTTTGATCATTAACGAGACCAGACGATCGGATCACTGGGAGGAGAGCAGGCAAGGATCCTCCTTTTCTTCTGGTCTTGTTGAGGATATAAACGATCTTGACGTTAACGACTCTGACGAGGCTAAAGACAACATCATCATCATCAAACATCCTGAAGAAACCATACGTGATGTAATCGAAACATCCGAGGTAGTTCACAGTTCTGAAGGCTCCAAGGAATTTGTTTATACCCACGAGGACTCCTCGGCAGTTCTTTGTATACCTGAAAATTACGAGAAAAACATTGACTCTCAGGTACCGGTTTGCATTCACAAGAACTCAAAAGCAGTCGTTTACATTCACAAGAGTCCCGAAGTAATCGATTGTACCAAGGAGGATTCGACAAGTGTTGAGCGTGCTACCAGTCCCTCTACCATCGTTGAAGATTGGAATGATGCGGAAATATCTGTTTGTGACACAGGTAAAACCATCTCTGTCGATGATAATGATGTTACATCATCGTCGTATGGATCTTTTTATTCTCGCACAAGAAATCATGCCTTCATTATTCGTACTTTGCTCATCCGGTGATTAGTTCTTCGGTGTCTCAAGGCTTGCTTATCGTCATCCCTCGATAGTTCGAAAACAATCGTCTTTCGTATCAAGTATCGTGTTTTGCATACTCATCATTAAACTGAAAAACAGATACGAGAAATTGAAACGTAAAGGAAAAGTATAGCATTTTTAAAACGCGGAATTTATGCCGACCAGCGAATGTTTACTGTGCATGATATTTAGCAATGGCTTCAACAGGTCGTAAATACATACAGTGAGAGCAAAAAGTATTTGTACTAGGGAATTTGTTATTAAAAAAGTCTTATTTGTAGAAAATTAATATTAACTAGCAATTTTATGCAATGAATACATCCTGTTCTAACATAAACAAACGAGCTTCGCATGTTTTCCTGATTTTAGAAGCTAAATTTCTCGTCTATATGAATACTTTTCGAGCATTCAAACAATATAATTTTTAATTTTCGCTTATTTTTCAGATGATATATTTTGTATAATTAATACACATCTTTTTGGTATATATAATTTTAAGAAACATACAGTCTATTTTATTCTTAATGAATAAATTGTCAATTAAATGTCGAATCGATGTCAAAATTGATGTTGAAATCATCGTATTTATATTGATTCGAGATAAATTCGATGACTCATTTCTCGCTGGATAATATTTACTTTTTAAAAATCAAGTTTTTTTAAAAAAGATTTTCTCTGTACGAATACTTTTTGTATTCACTGTATGTATAAAATACAGGTTTCTTAAAACCGATTAGGTATCGATCTGTTTAATATTTCTTTATTCGTTACTGGTTTGCGGCACAGCATTCGCAATGCTCGTAATCGTAAAAATTTATAATTTATAATTATATTGTATTGATTTATCGCAGACACGATTTGGTTCCTTGAAGAGAAATAGATATATTCTCTTCACTTATTCTTTTGACACTAAAATCACGAAAATGACTAAAAAAGCACTTTAAAGAACGCATTATATTTTATAGGTACTTTAATATTTTATTTTAAAAATTTTCTGAGAATTTGATATTTCTTTTTAAATTATTCTTTTTAAATTGTGTAGAATTTTGAAATGAGATAATTTTTAATATATTAACGTATTAATATTATACGTTAACATGTAAAATGTTTTTTAATAAATTTAAATCGGTAAATTTAAATCTGTGCCTAATGATGTATATTCTCTAAATTTCTAGGAGTGAAATCTCTCATTCCAAAAGAATGAAAACTGCCACTATAATGAAAAAGAGTTTATATATTTTTATATAATTGTAACAAACGTGGTTTATAAATCAAAACTTACAAAAAGAAAAGCACAGCACAAGATATTGTTTGTGATATTTAATAAATCGTTACATCAATAAAAAATTTTTTTAGACGTTTCGGCCACAATCTGGCCATCATGCACCTTTACAAGATGAAAGAATACGTTTATACATATTTATATTTTTGACGGCTGAATTTAATGTCAGATTTATGTTAATTCTGCGTTTTACTGAAATTTGTAATTTTACTGAAGATGGTCAGATTGTGGCCGAAACGTCTAAAAAAATTTTTTATTAATGTAATGATTTATTAAATATCACAAACAAACTTGTGCTGTGATTTTATGGTCTTCTTTTTCAAAGTTTTGTTATATATTTTTATTTTTATTTTTTTATTTTTTTTCGATAGTGACAATATTTTCATTCTTTTGGAGTGAGATTTTATTCCAAGAAATTTAGAGAGCAACGGCAAGCCATTATAATGATATATAATAAATGAAAAATCATTAAATGGATTTTCACAACTTAAAAATTCAGACATCTTAAACTTTTAACAATGACATTAAAACTTTAGATCCCTATCTGTTAAATATTCGAGAGTTTTGAGTCAGTACGTAAAACTGGCAGTTTATTAAATTATAAATTTTCAACTTACAAATTTTTACGTTGTATTGTGAAAATCTATTTCCCTATCGCAGATAGTTCATCTGAACTTCATGAAAGAAGAGAGAAAAAAATTTTTCATGACAAGTAATCAAGAAAAATAAAAGAAAGATAAAAAGAAAGAAAAGAGTAAAGAAAACAATGTAAAAACAAAAATATCTTTTTAACAATGTTCCTCCAGTTTTCAAGGTAGTCTTTATATTTTGAACAAAGAGAACTAAAATTTCTCCAAAATTCTCATAAATCCATATGGCCTTCATATCCGTATGGCCTTCACACTATTAGCCTCAATTTTATTAATGACAGATGTGTGTACATATTATGTATATATAATATTTTCAGGTGAAATATTTCCAATCCTTATTGTGTTTTTAAGATTTCACATCTATGTTGAAATTTTTCTAATGTTCGCTGCATTTTAAGATCCCTTTAAAATACCTAGGCTATCCTTTATTTAGACTCGTTGGCGATTCGATGACTAATTTTTGTTTGATGCGTATGATTTTCTTCATGCGTAAGCACGTAACGGTGAACTCTCGACGCGAACAATTCGGACTTCGACCTTACGTTCCGTGTCGAGTGATATTGTTCTTCATGTGTACATTTTATAGACATTCACATTTGTGCCAAAGAGAGAGAAAGAGAACTGTTACTTGCTTTCTTTTATTTCCGCTTACAAGTGTTATGTACATTTGTCCCTGGGATACACTAAATGTCTAAATCGCGCGTCTTGCGAATCGTTTCTCGTACCACACACTTCTATATTAAAAAAAGAACGGATTATTTATTCCCTAGCACTTGCTGTAGTTCCGCATAAGTTTCGTATACGCGTTTTTAGCGAAAGGGTGAAGAGTTAATATCACGACAGGAAGGGGGGGAGATCTTAATCACTTTCTCCTGGTATATACAACGAGACATGACACGGCTGAAACGCGCAGGTTTTGTGCGCTTTCGAAACCGGCCATGCTATTCTCAATCGAGGGAAGCTCGTTTTAAATTTCTGGGAACTGATGTGATGTTTTAATTTTATAAAACGTCGCGTCATGAGCTTTACGAGAATTATTTTCGGCGTCAGTAATTTTATATGTAATTTAATGTTCGTTCGACAAAATTTAGCATGTTCGAGAAATTGCGGATGGCCGCAGAAATGGCCTGTTTCGTATTCTCTGTCCGCGCATTATTTACTTATATATGCGTGCGTGCGTGCGTGCGTGCGTGTATAATGAAAGAGTTGAATGCCGAAGCTCCAGCAATCCGCGTTTCTTTGAGTGCAAACAAGTTAATCGACGTACGAAAAGGTGGTAGCTTATTCTCTCGTCGTTCGCTCACTGAACAATCGTACCACTGCATTTGCAAGTGTTATGGGAGATCTAAAAATAAACCACTATTATCAATGAGAAGCCGCATCGAAAGCTAGCACGAAAATATCCAATTTCAAATGGTACGGCGTACGGACGTATTCACAGAATAGCCTCTTTCTCTCCCTGTCCTTGTTTAGAGATAAGACGCCGTATATTATATAACGTTTTATTACCGTGCAAATATAATGTAGGTATTTGCTGCTGTTTATGAAAGTCCTATTGATCTTGCAATCGGACATAATATATATAAAAATAACAAGGCAAGTATATTTTACACTTTTTTTTTTGGCAAATGCAATTTCTTCTTTCGCGTACGTTTCACTGAGATTTATGGGAAAGAAATCATATCATAAGAAGAAATATCACGTGTCGCTAAAAATAAGCGGGAAGATTGTACATGAATATAACGTTTATAACGTGAGTACATCGTGCGAACTTTCTTTTGTGACGTTCGATAAAATAATGAATCGACTGAACATTTTTTTTTTTCCTTTGTGTAAAATGTAACGATCGTATATAATTTTTGTTGTACCAAAAGCGTGTTACATTTAACATAAACATGCAAAATTAACGAGAGAAATGATCAATATTTACGCAAGCATTGCTGACAATATATATAAGTACCTTGAATGATTGACGTAAAAACAGCTTCGACAAAAACAATTCAACAGCTGCGTTTTCCAGTTTCGTAAAACTTTGACGCAACAGCATGTTGATTGCGCTTAATATTGCAATCACAAAACGATTGCGATTTGGAGTGCTCATTGATATGGGGTGTTGTAAAGAAGTTCAGCTACGCGATACATTTAATTAACGAGAATTATTGCCTCTATCTCCGAACGTCAATAATTTTCTAGTTTTACGGAAACAAAAAATAGAAACTGAAAAATTGATAAAACGATAAAAAACTTGATTTTCTTGAACAGATAGATAATCTTGAACAAATTTTGTTTCAATGAGAATTTTTTATGATATTGACAAGGGATTTTTGATCTCTTTTTAATTTCTCGAAATTATTTAGTGATATACATATAAAGAATTGATAAGATAAAGTTGAGGAAATAGAAATATATTTGGAACGTTATTAAAAATAGATACTTTCTTACGAGGCTTTTTGTTTGAGGAAAATTCTAAATCGGTTAGGAAATGAGAGAGATAGCATTTGTTTGCATATTAACACGGATGTATGTACTTATACGTGCCTATAAAAAGAATGCTCGGAAATAAGAAAAGGTTTCTGTTAAAACGATTCGAGATTGGGCACGTAACTGCAATAAGCAATAGATACTCGTGCCGGATGGCCGTGAAAGATGCGGTCTTAATGAACAAAAAAAAATATTGAAATTTCCAGGTGCGATGCCAGAAAAACATACTGTAACTGACTCGATTATTTTTTCAATAACGTGTGTGTACTTCATATAGGATATGAGTTACTGATACGGAGGATTTAAACGGTTGTTTGTTTTCTATAAATAGTACAAGGTTACTCAAGAATAAATCGGTGAATACCGGCAGGATGAAGGGATGAACTTTGCATTTTCATTTCTATTCATTATTTCTAGTTATTTTTATTCAAAATATTTAAATGTATATTTTTGATTGTGCGA